CATTATGGCAGGATAATTCTCCCATACTATTGGTCTCACTTTACTCCGTATCAATTGAAATCAGATCTTTTAGCTGGGATATTCTTCTGCTAAACCACTAATGTTTTAGATCCATATCGTCCATCAATCCTTCAAAACTTTCCACAGGAACTCACGAGTAAGACTACATCAACTTTTATTCTCTGTTGAAAATCTACATACTATACAGGGTTTATGAGTCCTTGTCACAATGCAGAGCAGCGCAAACAGAGCAAGGGTTGGCCGGGGTAAAGGATGCAGGTCATGTTCTGCGCGGTGTTTGTGTCTTGGTGCAGCTGAGCCTCTGCATCGATCGCTCACTAAGCCCCCTTCAACACAATGAAGGAAGTATCGATTGGCCTGGTGTTTCAGAGCCGCTCACACGCTGATAACGGGACCTTCACCCGTGTTGCTAAAAGCCCGGCGCTCCTCCTAAAAGGACTTACACTTTCCTGCACACAAACCGGCCGTAACTTTAAATAACACAACAGTAAACTGTTATAAAAAAGAAGTTCTTTAGTTTATTTGTAGAAACAAACCTTCCAGATGGATTCGATAATTAAATCTCTATGATAGCATACTGATAGCATAAGTTTTAAGTTCTGGCTGGAATGAAGGTCAAACAACAGATCTAAAAACACGGGGATCACTTTAAAAAATTACACAGGAGCTGCTGTAATAAATCATATTTTATCAGTTTGGCTCAGTTTGGCTTGTAACTCCCTTTTTCTGCCCTGTGCAGGAGAAGGTTTGGATATAAAGCTCTAAGCTCAAGGACGGTTTTTACACCAGCCTGCCCCAGCTCTGTTAACAGTAGATGTGCCTTTCTGCAACAGCGGAGATTAAATGACTTGGCAGGTTTCATTCCAACACTGAAGCCGTAAACATTTTAGTAGATCACAAAGTGTTCAAGAAAAAAAAAGGCCTATAGAAATTTCTACTGTATAATTGGATTGTTTAATTTACCGGCGTAAAGAAAAGCCTGTGGTGTTTTTTTAAGGTAATGTTGAGGAAAAGAGCTGGTGAAAGCTGGATTTCAGAGCGGCAAAATAAGACAAATGAAAAAGAAAACGTTTTTTTTTTTTAAATGACAAGGAAGCAAAGTTACAGAAAAAAAAAGGTTCAAAGGGAAGCAAGAAAATGCCTGCAGTCTGGGTGTTAAAGCAGCAAACAGAGAAAGAGGAAAAAGTGATGAATGTGGTGAAACACAGGAAAACAGTCTGGGACTTTTTACAAACGTCACAAACAGAAGCCAACCTGCTGTCATCATGTCGGCTGTTATTTAAAGGGAGTTTTATTTTACTGTTAATAAAAAATGATGCTGTTCTGCTGTTTCTTTTTATCAGCTGTCAGGAAGTCAGAGCTGAAGGCTGCCTGGATCTCCCCAGGAGGCGTGTTCCCCCCCTCAGGCCACTATCTCTAAATGCACATTTGCTTTTTAAGTGTGGTGTCATCTTCAAGTAGTTTTTTTCCTACAAGGAGTAAAAATAGGTGAATATTTGCAAGAAAACAGTGTAAGAGTGAAAAATCTCATTTATTTTTAAACACAAACACGGTTTTCATTGCTTAAATTTAAATATAAATGGTATAACTTTTAGAAAAATTTTAATTAACACATTTATTTAAAGAATAATGAATAATGGCTAATAAACACAGATTGGGTGGTTTCAGCTGTTTGAGCCTTTCCTCTACACAGTAAACATATATATATATATATATATATATATATATATATATATATATATATATATATATATATATATATATATATATATATATATATATATACACACACATACATACATATATATATATATATATTTATGCAAGAAGTACTTCATGAGCTTCAATAATATTTTTAATTCTTGACACACTATAAATGTATAGAAATTAAATTAAATGAACACAGATGTATTAGTGTCATTGAAGAGTGAAAAAGGTAATAATTCCTGACGGATGCATGAAGCTCGTTAACTTCATACCAGTTCTGGTCTAAATACAGCTTATATGGTGTCCAAAGTATTCATGTTTATCACTCCAGTATAAATCCTACTGTTTAAAACACGTTTGTGGAAGTTAGAGGATCAACTTCAGCTTTTTATTCCAGTAAAAGTGTAAAAGTAGCATTTTTAAAACTACTTAAAGTATAAAAGTAAAAGTAAAGAATGTTAATGCCAGAAGTTTTACTGCTCTACTCTATTAAAGGAAAATTTTTCTACAATTCTGGATGAAAACTTCCTTAGACTTCATTTTCTTAGTTTTATAACTGATGGTAACAGCGTCAAATTTAACTTTGCATCATCTTGAAAAACGATTTATTTTGGTATGTGTTGAGCAACAAGTTGGGGCAGCACCGAGTCCAGCCACAAAGAAATTAATTGTCTGGATGGAACTAATATATTTTTTTTTAAATACCAACAGGCCATGATGAAAATTAGCTTACATGAAACTAAACTAACGAGTCTATTTTTAAAATGCAAGGAGTAGAAATTAAAGTTGTCTAAAAAATAATTATTCCAGTCAAGTATAGACGTTTCTATGTTTCTATGAAACAATTAATCTGATTAATCAATGATTGAAATAATTGTCAAACAATTCAGTATTAATCATTAATGGTTAACTGGAGTGTAGAAACTCTAAATTGAACCTTTAGCTGACAGAGCGACCTACTTAGAGCAGGAATTAAAACAAATTTGTGAAAAAATAATTATGGAAACATTTTGCTTTTAAGACCAAAAACTTTGCGTCTGTCAATCTGCTCTATAATCCAGAACTCCTCAAGTGGAAACGTTTTATTTTCACCTGCTTTGATTTAATAAAAAAAAAAAAAAAACCTTCTTTAAGGGACCTTTGGCTATCTGATTAAAAATGATCAACAGATTAAAGGATTTGCAAATTAATTGCAGCCCTACTTGATACATCTGCTTCAGGTCCTGAGGATACCATGAGATGTGCTTTGAGATAATGTTGTTAGTTAGGAGTGTGAAATAAATATGATCCATACAAACACAAGGATGCAAAAAAAAAAAAAAAAAAAAAAAAAAAAAAAAATATATATATATATATATATATATATATATATATATATATATATATATATATATATATATATATATATATTAGGGATGTAGCCGATAACCGATATCGATACCGATGTTAAAGCTGGACAAAAATAAGTAGTCATTGAAAATAGCAGTTTTGTTATCCATTTCTAACACTTTGAAAAATAATATACTCAAATATATTTTCATATGCTGATATCAAGTGTGGAGTGGCAGCCTAGTGGTTAGGGCATAGGGCTTTCAATCCTGAGATTGTGAGTTCGATCCCCCACTCCCACAGACTGCCACTCTGGGTCCCTGAGCAAGACCCTTAACCTCACACTGCTCCCCGGGCGCCTGACAATGGCAGCCCACAATGGCAGAGAAGTAATTTCCCTCTGGGATTATTAGAGTATATCAAAAAAAAAAAAAAAAATCAAATAGATTTTTAAAAACGCGGTATCGATCTATTTTACTTTCAAAATCTGGTGAAATTTCATCGTTCTGTTACAAACTCTCGTGATATTTTGCAAATTCTTGTGAGATTTTGTTAGTAAAATAGATTGATACCGCGTCAATATATCAACATATAAAAATATGGCAACATTTGGTGAATTTTCGGGGGATTTCGTAGCATAACGATGACATATAGCAATATTTCATTAGTAAAAGAGATTGATATGGTGTTTTTAAATGGCAATATATCAGCATATGAAGATATTGGGATATTTTAATGGATCAATATTTTTTCCCTCGTCTTTAGAAGTTTTTAAGTCTGTAAAAAAGAAGTTTTTAAGGAAGAAGAAGAAGTAGGATTTTTTTTTTAGACTTTAGAAACTCAGAAGCTGATCAAATATCGGGTTAAATATCGGTGGGGTGGCCGATGTCCGATATTTAGTTTTAAGGCCGATACCGATAGGGGGCCGATTATATCCTGCATCCCATAATATATATATATATATATATATATATATATATATATATATATATATATCTCAACAAATCAATAAATACAGGCTTATTGATGTCATCTACAACAGAATTATACGAATGGACAAAATCTGACCAAAATTCTGGATTTAGGGTTTATAGCCTATCAGCTTTACTAGGCATCATATCCAAATCTACACTAATTACACCAACAATTAGTGTAGATTTATACCTAAGTATACATTAATTGTAGAAGCAATGTTCTGATCAATAAATTCTATTCATTCTAACATCTGACAGAAAAAAAATTCTTTGTACAACTTGGAATGAATGTTGGCTTTAAAGCCTTTAAACCCATGACAAACATGAGAAAAACACTAAATTTCTCCCTCTGGCCATTTAAGTGGTGATAAAACACTTGAAGGGGTTTGTTGCCACACAGAAAGGTAGAGAGAATTACAGTGAGGTACGGAAAGCTTTCTAAAGCAGCGCTGATCTGCTCCACCCTGCTTTAGAAAGCTTTCGATTAAAGCATATACAAGCTTCGAGTTAGGACAAAGGAAACTCGAAATAAAATCACAATTTTGGTTAAAAATAATTGGAATTTCGATTTTTGGCGAAATCGTTCAACCATCCAATTAGTCTGAGCAAAAACTACAACATCAAAAATCTGACTAGCTCTGCAGAGCTGAGAGAACAAATGGAAAACACACTTCAGGTTTATATTAACAGAGAAAAGTGAAAAAAAAACATGTATTATTCTGCTTCCACTACATGACTACTTTATGTTAGCCTGTCTCATAAATAAAGAAAATGTGACTTCACTTATGATGTATGAATATCGTAGCAAAGCTCTGTGAAACATCAGTGAAACAGAACAATAGAAATCAATAGACCTAACCACACACTGCCTTCCCACACAGTGTGTTACTTCACTGTAGGTAAATGCAAATGTACTAGATAAATGATTCGACTTTGTGCCATGGAAAGATCGTTGCCATGGTAACTTACAACTGGAAGAGAAGAATGCAGTTGAATGCGTGGCTCATGGGCCGGGAGAGGAACAGGCAGCCCAGCAGATGGAGGTTGGGTTGCTGGTTCTCAGCTCGGTCGTTCCCAGCTGCTGCAGCGGAATGCAGTAAACCAGTATCTGTGAGACAGGAATGGGTTAATGCACAAGGCTGTCATACTGGACAGAGATAAAGTACCACTTACAAGTTTATCCTTTTAGTTCAGTACCCCTATTGACTGAGCTTAAGGGAAGCAGAGGACCTGTCACCTATCCTCCATCCAATCAACATATCTGGAACCCTGCAGCAGGAGACTTTGGCAGAACATCACCGGCTGTCCTGTCTGATCAAAGTGGATTTGACAGAGTGTATGATATTCAGGCTGATTAAAGAAACAAGCATGGTAAATTTATAGCAACGCAGACATCTGGAGGAACAGAGTGGTTCATACAGAATAACCTCCCCGCCACCATCTGGACTCCTTACACTTCCAGCAACACTACGCACCATACATACAATTGTTTATGGATAAAACAACAGGGAAAATTTGTTTTTTTTCTTTTTTTCATCATAAAAGCACCATTTTGCCATCAAACAAAATTAAAGTTAATTTCAGAAGCAAAAAATTAAAAAGGGAAAAGTTTAAACTGCAAAGCAGCATCTTTTCCATCTGACTTTAATTTGAGGCTTTCTTTGATTAAAGTTTTCCAGCCATAGATCTATGAAATCAGTTTAAAACATTTGAACTTTATTGTGTTTTGAAATTATATTTTCAGAGCAGTTATCCTTGGAAACATTAAACTGTTTTATAAAGGAGTTAAAAGACACAAACTGGGGATTGCTGTGTGAGATTGTTGATCAGGTTTCTGCAGACTAACCTTATATCTACCATAGCGGGAGAGCCAAAGAGGAACACTAGTAATGTATGACTCTCACAACTCTTTGAACTGTATGTATATAAACTGATATCCTAACCCTATAAGATTAGACGGGGGCCAATGATCGGGCCCTTTAATAAAGCTCATCATTATAACATCATAGACATACAGCTGAGCTTACAAACTTCAGCACCACTGAAAACATGTTTGCCAATTTGTAGTCAATTAAGACCATGAAATATAACACAGAAGAGAAGAAATAAAGCATTAGGCTGCGTGATAACTAATGATGAAAAAACACAAATTCAAAGCATTTCAGCACCATGGATAGCACCTGAATCATTTTCACACCTATTTATCTATTTCCTTTGATCTATTTCAAACGAGTAACTTTTACGTTTGTTATAATTAACACTGCAGCTCACTTGTTCATAAACACAATTGTCCCACCTGACTTCTATTTGAAGGGCATAAAGCAAGCCTTGCATCCTGCAAACACATCCAATACGCTCTGTGTGTCAGTTTTCTTTGCTCTCTCATTCTCAATGGATAACAGAGTCCATCTAGTCTCTTCTGTCCCACTGTGCTGTTCAATTGGTTTTTGATACGTTTTAACTTGGAGAATGAACACTCAGAGGTTGCAACAGTAGTGGAAATGGTCAAAAATAAAAGGAGGGCAGGGCAAACCTCACTGACTCCTGAAGTTACTGCTGGGTGTCTAACAACGAGCATTTTTGCTAGATCCACAACAGAGCTTTATTTTATTATCTGGTTCCAAAAAGAGTTTCTAAAACAAAGCAGCTGACCAGGGAAGCTAGGGAAGATGTCCCAGCTATAGTGCTCACTAAGCCGCCCGACAACTTGGTGTAGCTCTTCTCTTCCTGCTGAAGGCAACATGGTCGGGTGAATAGCCTCAAACATTTTCACAGTTCTGTTTAAGCTGATGAATCTTTGGGACGGTTACCGGACTATAATATCAAGACAAGTTCATCAAAGTGATGTTTAACTTTTCTGGCCGGGTTGACTTCCCCATTTGGTAGCTAGAGCGACAGATGCAGACCTAGCCTCACTCAACTGCTCCCTAAAACTCCATCAACACATATATAGAAATTTGCAGTTTGAGTATGTGCTTTCAGAATATCTTTGTCATGCATGTAGAAGCTGTGAAGCAGCGTTTATAGAGCCTTTTTCAGATACATAGACAGGTATCTGGTATTGCGGGCTAACAAAGAACTCCAGCTACATAGCGGTTCACCTGGCTTCATTATTGACACAAATTATGTTGTGTCCATAAAGATGGAATAAGATGGAGCTTGGTTTATTTCATTCATTATTGCAGCTTTCTTTTTTTTTTTTTACAGTGTCCTGTCTGGCAATGTGGCAATAAGAATAATTGTCTTGATGCCAAAAAGAGACCAACAGATTTTACTTTCCCAAGTGGAGCAGTACGGCTATCACCATAGTGTTCCACTTGATTTATGCATATAAATTGCTTTTTATAATTCATGCAGGGATTATTACAGATTATATGGACACTGCAATGTAAGTAGAACAGGAAAGAAAAAACAGGAAAAATAATAATAATAATTAATTTGATTTATACTACACTTTTCACCAAAATGCCTCAAAGTGCTACAAAAAAAAGCATTAAAAAATAAATACATAGAAATAAAATAAATAAAACAAAATATAAAATAAAATAATAAAAGCTGTTTTAAAAGAGAAAAAAGAAACATCTAAAGGGGGGCCAAAAGTTTTGCTAAAAAGAAATGTTTTAAGGAGAAAAGATGAAAGAAAGAGGATATTAAAAGGGAGATAATGATAAAACATTTCAATTCTGCTTCATCACCTGCAAAGAGATGGAAAAAAAGAACAGCACAACCAATGGATATAGTATAAGATACAACACCTTGATACTATCACTGAAGTATAAGTATTATTATTTAAACCAACATGTATACTGTAGTAGCTGAAGATCAGAATATGGGCTTTCTGTATGTAAGTGAATCTCTAAGTACCTGGAACCAAGCTACATGGAGACAGGATGTAAATAATCTAATCTTAAATCTGGTGACTTAGGGATTTCACCGACCCTTCTGGTTATAGGCGTAACTTTCTGAAGGACTGGTAAGAACATGTCCCCACCAATAATTTCCCCTTTTCCCCCCATTCTGCTCATCTACTTTAGCCAAAGGAAACAAAGGTTGGGTGCAGCTAACTGTGTTCAGAGCATTTTGAGTCACTGGTTTTTTCCTCTCTCCCTCTGCTCCGATGTCCCGCCTCTCGTCGGTCTAACATCATTGGATCTGTCACTTTGCGACATCTGATTTGTGGTCACATTTCCCTGAAGTACAGAGTAGCTACGTGGTTTGGAGGAGTATGGGGCCAAAATTGTTGCTTTATTATTTACAAATGTGTGTGGAGAGTTGTACATCTGTATCTCGATTAGTGTGTGTGCAGGGGGATTTGAAAATGTGTAAATGAAACTGTAAATGTGTGAGGAGATATGTGTTTCTGTACAACAATCTGCAAATGTGCAAAACTACTTGCGTGTGTGTAATCTGGTTTGCAAATGTGTAAAAAATCCACAAATCTGTATTCAGATCTACAAATCTGTAGTAAGATTTGCAAATGTGTAGAACAATCTGGAAGCACACGCAAAGACACTGTGTCCGAAGTATTTTCGCTTCAACACCCAGAAATGCAGACACATCATTGGTTACAAGTCCAGCGGTTTCTCGGTTTCTCTCTTTACACACGTGATTTTTGCTACACTTCTGCCGTGTGAGATGCACAAATGCGTAAAAGGATTTGTATCTGTAATATCTGGATTTGCTGGGCGCAGACTCGCAGGCTGCCTCTTCCTCTTCCTTTTATTTCCCCGCTGCGAGAGTTCACTTGACAAGGAAAGATGGCTGCTAATAGCGAGATGGTTCGAAAGGTTTGTGGCTACAAATAATCCATGGGTAAGCAACTTTTTTATTTTTTTTTGGATTATTTGTAGCCGAAAACGTTCGAACCATCTCAGGAGAGACACACAGCAGCACTCAGTGAATTTAAACAGCAGCTACTTCGATGTTTAAGTAAAAGTTAGGAGAAGGGTTTGTTAAAAAATATTAAGATGCCAGTGAAAAATCTGTTCCTTAGACATACAGAGCTTTTTCAGCTAAAAATGGCAACAGATTGTAAATTTATAGAAGTTAGTAATATAATGCAAGAAGCTTCTTTACTAGTTAAACCATATTGGGCTTCTCAGAGGACCATCAGTTACAGGTTAAATTTAATATGTTTTCTTATTGAACACACAAAATCAAACTGCAGAGCTTCTACATATCTGGAAACGAAAACTGATTAAAACTGTTGACTGAACAGATCCTGTTAGGCTGCAGAGTTGCTGGAGGAAAGGAAAGGACTAGCTGCTAAAAGAAAAGAAAGTGTCATTTTTAGCACCACATCATTTGATCAATGGTTCTGTCAGATGTTGCAGCTTTTAACTTTAGTTAAGGCACTGTAAAAAAAGAAAAAAAATGACCAAACTTTAGAAGAAATGCTTAAATACAGGGTAGATCCAACAGTACTACTCATACCAGAGTCATGATCTGGCCTGATAGCTTCACACCAAATGTTAATTTCATTCACCTGTTTAGGCCTGCACGGTTTCTAATGTTCCACCTGCGTCTGCACTTTATATGCGGTTCAACCTGTGCCATCGGGGCCACATCATTGTTTTGCGTCTTGTGTTCTGTTTGGTGCAAGGGATCGTTTAGTTTTGTTCCAAGGTTCGTGTCCTGGTTCCTGGCAGCCAGCAGATTGAGAGGGTCCTAGGAGGACCAGTTTAAAGTTTCCTGCAGAAATTCTGGTACCATGTCTTGTCTCTGTTCTCTCAACCACTGAGCCTGCCTGTCTGTATCTGTGTGGACACTCACTGCACACGTCTGACTCTGGACTCTGAACCTGCCTGGGCGCTATGTGGATTCCAGTAGGTCTGGATCCCTCTGTTCCTGTTTGGGTCGGAACCTCGGATCAGCTGTGGATTCTTGGATTCCTGGTCTGTTCTGGCCTGTTTTCCCCTGACCTGGATCGGCCTCCTGCATGTTCTCCGAGGCTGCAGCACCTGGGATACTCTGGGCGGCGCCAGCCCATCGGCTGGATCTTTCGAAGAGGTCGGACTAAACTGTCAAACCAGGTAAGCGACTCACTCTGATTATCATCTCCTGTCAGATGATCATGGTCACTTACCTGTGTTTCTCCCTCCCCTTTCCCTGCAGTCGCTGCAGGTCCACAGATCCCGTTTCTGTTCTGTTCTCTTATGTTCAGTTTTTTTTAAATAAATGTTTTGAATATTCCAACTGACTGTTGAATACTGGGTCCATCTGTCCCTTCTTTTGACAACCAGGGATGCATTCTGGGGCAGATAACTACTTCTTAAAACAATGAGGTCCTGGAACGGCATGGAGGGAAACTACACTGGCTTTTGGAAGAGATTCAAAACTGAGACTGCGCCTTAGTTTGCAATGACTTACATCACCATGAGCATTTCCATTGTTGCACATAAAGCGTATTGCTTGGACTTGGAATATTTGTGTCTATAATCTTTGAATGTTTTTTTGGTTGCGTAAGAAGTTTTAATCACTGATCAATAACTGACTTTTAAATCTAAATCTGATTGTAAATAGGACCATAAATAGTCACCCACCTTTATGTCAAAGGCACATCTTATTTGTAAAGTTGGATAAATAAAGCAGTAATTAAAAAAAAAAAAATGCAATTTTTTAAAGGTAGCTTTTAACATTAGAACATATAAAGCACAATTTAATTCCTGGAATAAGTATTATTTAGAAAAAAAAAAAGATTGCTGTAAACAAATAGTAAAAAAAAAGTAGTATTTAAATCCTGCAGTGAACTAACGGTCAAAGGCTACAATCACACTGCAGCTTTTCATGTTTATTTCCAATAGTCTCTGGTCTTTCACATCACTAGTCATATGTGACTGGTCTCAGACTTCAGCCTTAATGGTTCAGGAAACCAAAATGAGCCGCAGGCACAGAAGAGGAATGATGATGTAGACGGTGCCAAGCAGCACTAACTTTAGAGAAGTAATCATGAATGTGCCCTTCAATAAAGATTCATTCAAATAAATAAAACAACATATTGTTAAACTCTTGAGGAATGGGAGACAACAGTATCATAAACTCATCATTAACAAAGAAGGCAGGTAAAAAAAAACTCTGGGCGTTAGCGAAGCATCAGTGATGCTCTGTAGCGACGTCTGTGTGGATGTGGAACTGGAGCCTTTGGTAAAAGTCTGATTAAATCGAATATGAAAGTTCAGACTGCAAAGGCTTTGAAAACGATGGGATGTGTATCTGATTGATGATTTAGTACCAAATATGAAAGTGGCTCAGAAAGTGTGATTTTAGTCTCATACAAACAAAAAGATGGAATTTGAGTAGAATCTGCCTGTAGGGAGGACATAGCCAGTGTCTGTTGTACCAGTTCATCCATTAGCCATGTTCCACTGGAGCTTTGAGGAAAACCATGTAAAGTCTTACCTGCTTCTGCATTTTCAGCATCTTCGTCTTCCTCCTCTTCTTCTATGGTTATTGGCCTTTCTCCGCTCACTTGATCCATCACTATACACTCTGCAACACCTGTCTGAGTACAACATCATGCTACAAGTCAGAACTCATCATATCAATGCTTCCCAGTAGAGTTCCTTGATTTAAATGGGCAAGTGTTGCCTACTATTAATATCTGACTAACATTAGCCCCTCTGCAGCGGCCAGGGCTAACGTTAGCTCGTCTGCGGCGGCCAGGGCTAACGTTAGCTCGTCTGCGGCGGCCAGGGCTAACGTTAGCCCGTCTGCAGCGGCCAGGGCTAACGTTAGCCCGTCTGCGGCGGCCAGGGCTAACGTTAGCTCGTCTGCGGCGGCCAGGGCTAACGTTAGCCCGTCTGCAGCAGCAAGGGCTAAAATTAGCCCATCTGCAGCAGCAGGGGCTAACGTTAGCCCGTCTGAAGTGGCCAGGGCTGACGTTAGCCCTGTCTGCGGCGGCCGGGGCTGACGTTAGCCCTGTCTGCGGCGGCCGGGGCTAACGTTAGCCCTGTCTGCGGCGGCCGGGGCTAACGTTAGCCCTGTCTGCGACGGCCAGGGCTAACATTAGCCCTGTCTGCAGCAGCCAGGGTTAACTTTAGCCCGTCTGCAGCAGCCGGGGCTAACTTTAGCCCTGGTGGCCGGGGCTGACGTTAGCTCGTCTGCGGCGGCCAGGGCTAACGTACGCCCATCTGCGGCAGCCAGGGCTAACATTAGCCCGTCTGCAGCGGCCAGGGCTAACATTAGCCCATCTGCAGCGGCCAGGGCTAACATTAGCCTGTCTCCAGCAGCCCTCTCTCTGCATAGCCGTGTTTGAAGTTTCCACTAAATGAAAAAGGTCATAATTTATTATTATCTAGAGACTTTTAATAACAGGAGGTGAAATGCAGCTCCAGACGAGCTTTGAATGTGGTGATGTCATCAGTACGCTTCTGTTCCAATTGACCCAGATTTATTCTGCGTGTTCCAGTTCTCCCAGACTTTCCTGGGTTGTTCTCAAGAACAGACTTGGCGAGAACACGAGTCTTTACTCTCGCGTTCTAGTGAATTGAGAAACAGTCACTGTCTCTGATTCCCTCCAGTCAACATGTGAGACTGAAAGGTTAGAACACATAAGTAGAAAAATAAAGGTGTGTTTCCTGCTTTGTTCTCCATCTAACCTTTAGGGATTCCAGCTGAAACACTTGACATTTCTGCAGAAGCTCCACAAACAGGTAAATGAGCAAAGCCTGTAAAACAAAAACAAGTCGATAACAAAGCACCAATAATAACATATCTATAATATTCAAGTAGATAATTAGACAGGCAGACTAATTGATCCCTTTATCGATGCTTGTGTTAACACTTCTGACCATGTCTCTTACCTGAATGAAGAAGCCAACTAGAAAGGAGACCAGGAAGGGCACCAGCCCAGCATGCGCTATAGTGACTGGGAGACCTGGAAATGGGAATGATGAAGAGCCGTTTGTGAATCTGAAGGTGAAAATATGTGCTAGACACTGTCTGATGATCCTTCTGTCTGTGTGCCTCTCACGTCCATCTCTACGCTCTGGCTCCAGCTTTCTATAAAACTTAATTGATAGTGCTAATTTCCATATGAGATTTAAGTGGCTGAGCAAGTATTAAGCTGGAAGGACCGGACCTTTGTGGAACTACATGAAATCTCTGCTCAAAACAAAGCAGTTAAATGTAATGTCCCATGTAATTTCCACCCCTACAAAAAAATCTCTCTGGTGTTGGCCACACTTCATAAAACACATTTAAATTTCCCCTGCCTGGAGATGGATGGAGCTTTAATTATCTTTCCAGTGAAGTGATATTTCAGAAGGAAAACGTAGTAGAAAATGCAAACAGCTCCTATAGAAGCTTTGCCTTCATATTATTGTTGTGCCTTGTTGTGTCTTTTCCACAGCAACCATACAAAGTTAAGACATTAATCTGTTTTAGTACGTCACAGTGCCGCAGTTTGTAGCAATGCTGCCTTGCAGCAAGAAGGTTCTGGGTTCTATTCCCGGGGTACTTCTGCATAGAGTTTGGAGTTCTCCCTGTACATGCATTGGTTCTCTCTGGGTACTCCGGCTTCCTCCCACAATCCAAGAACACGACTGTTAGGTTAATTGGCTTCTCTAAATTGTCTTCAGGTGTGAGTGTCTCTGTGTTGCGCTGTGACAGACTGGTGATGTGTTCAGATTGTAACCTGCCCATATTTGTCTTTAAGATCGCCACTGCTTTAAAGTCGTAGGGAAGCGGCTGTTCCAAACGTTGCATTTCCGAATTCTCCCAGTGGTGCACGACTTTACACAAGTGAATAAAGTGAATGTGATTGGTCGATTATCAAGGGGGCGGGATTGTTGTGGCAGAAGGTTTGCAAGCAAGTAGCAAGGTTTGTTGGAAGCATCTTGCTAACCAGTTAGCATCTTAGTGCTAGCAGGTTCCCAATGGGTTATTCCATTGGGAACCTGCTAGCACTAAGATGCTAACCAGTTAGCATCTTAGTGCTAGCAGGTTCCCAATGGGTTATTCCATTGGGACCAAGTAGCACTAAATTGGTGCCTTAGAAACGACGCTGTCAAGGAACGCTATGGACAGCGGAAACATGCAAGAGGAGGAGAGTTTAGTGTCGGAGGTCGTGGATGAGTCTCCTCCGTCATCCATTTTTTATTTAGAGGAGGAAAGCGGGGACGAAGATGTTTTGGAAGAGGACGCCAGGGCGGCAGAAGCTTGGTTTGGTGTAGAAGGCTTCCAGCCGTACATGTTTGAGCCCTTGCCTCGCAACGCTGCCAGTTCTGTTAGCTCTACGCCTGCCGAAGACACAGACGTCCATCCCCGTGAACACTGGGACGCAACTCAATGGGAAAGGAAAGGATTCTGGTTTCAACCGTTGCGTATATTAGCTGCGACACATGAATCAAGATGCTATGACCGAAAACATTTGATTGACAGATGACCGTTGATATATGATTGGCCGAATTTAGGTGTTCAGGCTGACATAGAACTAACTGGCCTGCAGAAGATAACCGCACGCTGGACTGTAGTAGTGACAGGCAGCCCGGGCCACAGTCGGCTACGCTCTACCCCTTCTATTCATTCCAGCTAATCTGAATCGTTCAATTCCATTTCCAGAGCGAGATCATCTGTGGTAGCAGCACTAGACATCTTCCAGGCATGTGAGGAAAACTAGCAGCAGTTCAAACATACCTAAAATTCCAGTTCCTAATATTGTCGCAATGGTCAGGAAGTCTGCAAAGAAAGATAAAGAAGGTGTTACCCTGCATATCTTTAGAGCAGTTCAGTTTACATCCACATTTGAACTTTCTAAACATGTTTCATAAAAATATTAAGCTTCATTTAATCCAAATTAGTTGATTTATAGTGAACTGATTTACTGCAAATTCTGTCTCAATTTGTAAAAGAAGTAAAAGGAAAAGTATGGGCAAATTTACTGCCATAATGTAACAATAACAATATCCTCCTGTGTTTGTGTGTGTATATATACATACATATACATATATATATATATATATATTAGGGGTGGAACGGTTCACAAAATCCACGGTTCGGTTCGATTCACGGTTTCGTGGTCACGGTTTTCGGTTCGGTTCGGTTCGATACATGTTGATTGTTACAACGAAATCCCATAAAAATTTATGAAATTAATGAAAAAATCCCCCCAAAAATAATGGATTGTAATTATTTTAAATGATCCGTGGAAACCTTGGATCATTTCTGCATGTTTTGCTGCTTTGAATGTAATCATCTGGCGCATGCCCTCTACCATCTCCAAGGAACTCAGAGCGGAGCGGACGGGAGCCACAGTGGAGGCTGCAGGCTTTGCTTTGAGCAGCCGGTCTGGAGCGCAGCGGGGCGGAGCGCTGACGGAAGTTGAGGGATTTCGGGGTTAGCATGACATGTTGGTCATGTTGCTGTTAGCATAAACAAACCGTGTTGCACAATGCTTGCACACTGTTGCACTTTTATCCACAGCTTTCTTCCCGCCGTCATCGTAGGTCACTCTAAATGCAAAGTGGTCCCATACAGCAGACCTATAAAGTGCTGCTGGCGCGTCTTCCAGCTCCTGTTCTTTCCCACTCGCCATACCCACACAATTCTCCACAACAACTGATTTTTTTCTGCTACACCCGGCTACGCTGCTTCGCTTCTTCTTCTTCTTCTTGTTTACTACTGGTGGTTGGCTTTGGTCACAGTACCGCCACCTTCTGCTCTGGAGTGTAAACGCTTCGCCTATGAGAAAAAGGAGCAGCGCATGAACCGAACGCAACACACGCGAACCGAACCGAGACAGTCGAACCAAACGGTTTTCATAAATCATCCCATCCCTAATATATATATATATATATATATATATATATATATACATACATATAAATATACACACATAGTATATATATATATATATATATATATATATATATATATATATATATATATATATATATATATATACATACATATAAATATACACACATAGTATATATATATATATATATATATATATATATATATATATATATATATATATATATATATATAGTATATATATATATATATATATATATATATATATATATACACATATGCTCATCCAAGAGGTACATCCAAAAAACTGCCGGGCCTTCAGTTAGGGATAGATTTTATGCCTTCTTCTAAAAAAAAACATGAGCAAAAAAGACTACAAGGCAGTGTTAAAGGACCAAAACCACTGCTGAGAAAACAGATCATTATAGCTTATCTCAGTTTCTCCAGAACTCTTATTAATGTTCTACGACACTTTGCAACTGACAATACAAAACTTCTTTGCAGGTGTGTGCCCCATTTCATCTGGTGTAAAAGGAACACTACATTTCAGAAAGAGAACATCACAGCGACCATGCAGGGACATAAATAGCTCATAGTCTGGAGTTACTCAGAGAGACTTATAAGTAAATATGTTCCAAGACTCTTTTTCTGCAGCTGTTACGCTGCTTGACAGACAGTATAATTACAGCAGCCTAATTACAGCATCAACTTGACAAATGATAAATGTGTTGAAGAGAACCCTGCTGATACTACAGAGAATACGGTTGGCTGGTTTAACCAAAGATCTAGATGTCCAAACTACAGGACTGGAGCATTAAAGCAGCAGTGGACATTCAGCCATGAGGTGGTTTGTTTGTCCTGTTTGACGCCCTTTAAATTAATTAATTATTCTGTTCTGATATATATCTGGAGATGTTTAAACCCTAAATTAGAGCTCAATGAAACACTTTTAGCATCAACAATTTTTTCACCAAGTTTTACAGAATTGTGCTGTGATTAAAGAATCTCTGACCAAAGAGATACGAGTTATTTTTTACCTGCTGAAACAATGTAAAATAGTAAGGCAAATTAAGCAAGTGTAATAAAAAAAATGTAGACTTTCACAGCTGTCTGATAGAGAAGAATCTTTTTGAACAACTTAATGCTTTAGCTGACACCAATTGACCATCATTATTTCATTTTGGCATAATCAATATAATAACTCTTCCTTAAATAACTTTTCCTTCTCAGTAAACCAAATGAATTTATTTTTTGCAGTTTTTGGTGTGTTTCCAGGCCAGTCCATCCCAACATAACACTATCCCTCTGGCCCAAGCCATTATCACTCATAATAGGTCAGAGAAACTGAAAGAAACATAAAACGTTCCTTGTTTGTTGACCTAATGAGTTCTGCTACCTGCAAGCTACAATTACAAATAATTGTATTTTTCCAATGTTATTATAAGAAGTGGCTTTGTGATGCAGTTTTGAGGCTTTTTGACAACTCTTAATGGACAGTTTGTTTTGTTAATAGTTCAACGTTTGATTGTATTGGATTTCCAGTTCGCTCTGCAACCCCTCTGGCTACAGATTTACTGACAGAGATATTGCCCCAATGAAGAACCTCAATGCCCCCAAATGACACCTCTACAACTAACGCTGAAGTATGCAAAACAGATCTGACCTTCTGTGTCTTTATATACAATTTGTAAACTTATCCTCTCATAGAATCAATGATAGGTGCTGAACTGTTAAATAATTAAAGGGCCTTAAACAAATCTATGAGTCAAGCTGCAGAAATCTGAGGAGATCAGCTCCTTTTGGTATTATTCTTGTTGAGAACATATTTAAAAGTTTAAAAGTAAAAAAACAAAACAAAACATTTCTTTAAAAATGTTTTTTATTCATTGTAGAGGTGTGGCAGCTTTTATTTTGTTGAGAAAGTTCGCCACAATCAATTACATGTAGAGGAAACGGTGTCAGTAATACTCAGTAAAATTATTTAGGTCTATAGATATTAGATTCACAGAAATTCAAGTTTTCAATAACAGCTAATCCTAATATACAGTAGGTCCGTTATTAGCTGCAAAAAACTGGAATAAGGAAATACTTATTAAACATACTTGGATGCCACCTTAAAATCTTAGTGAAATTTTTTATGCTATAAACAACAAAATGCTGGAATTTTTTCATTTGTGATGCATTTAATTCTGTACATACTATCGAATGAGAAAGTATAAGTATGTGGTTTTCTATTTGAACTTTAAAGGTTTTTCTGAATTGTAACAGCTAGTATTTTGTACGTATGTGTCACACAAATAATCTAGGAATGAACGGTGCAGATGAACAGTACTTAAAGTGAGAGACAGTTATTTGAAGTGAGATGTTGGACTTGTTTAGTTTTTCATTAAGTTCAGCTGGAGTTCAGAAAGTGCATGTGTTTTTGGTGTGGATGGTGTAGATGTCTGCATGTACTCTACTATGTTTAGTTTTTTCAGTCTGCAGTATTTATGCTCCATCTTCAAAAAAAAAAACTTCAAGCTCTTTGTCTCTGTTTAATTTTTAAGTTGTGCAGAAAGCACTGGTGGTGGAGCTGGTCTATGAGCTGAGCCTGTAGAAACCTGCCAGTTCTGCCCCCTTCCCTGCTCATCACAGGTGTTTAACAAAGCAAGACAGTTTGCATTACAACGATGTTGAAAAAATTTAATTTAGCTAAGTGCTCTAAAGAGACACAATTAAATATGATTAACAACCAATTCAAAGTACATATAGCATTCAAAATATGTTAATAGAAAGGTAGATATAAATAACATGTTTATTTTGGGTGAAAAATAAATAAGGCTTCATGCCATAGTCACTTTATTAAAGGTCCAAATAATCCAGAAGAGATTTTCCATATTCCATCATGTTCTACTCTCCCGTATGAGTTTAGTGTCATTTGGAGCCGTTCTGAAGATATTCCGTTAGGTTATATCCAGTAACGTCTTCCTATGGGCAACGACTTGAAGGCACAAACTAAACTGTTCATCATTTATTCTTTACGGTACGCCAGCATTCAGAACATGGGGCCGGATCTATCAAAGGTTTGCGTGTATTAAAACGTGGGCTATTTCACTGCGCACGCAAAAAAATGTACAAACTGATCTATCAACAGCGTGCTAAAAGGATTTGGTCTTTAAAACGTGCTAAATAGCGCCTCTTATCCATTTAGTACTTTTTCTGCAATGAATATGCAATATGGGGCGTTTACACGCAAAAGTGCGTCTTGTGGGAGGAGAACATGTAAATATATTAATTTAGCACTCGCAAAGTGATTTATCAAACCTGAACGCAATTTTGCTAACGGTATCTGACTCTATATTTAACACGTTTCAAAAGAAGGTGCAAATGGTCTGTATGCGTAATTGCGCACACATGGCAGCGGTTATTGTCGCAAGAAGGAGACATGGAAATAAAGCAAGGAGACGCAGAGAACGCAGTTTTTCACTCCGTGTGAATATTTTTGCAATGAACGAGGAAACGATCATCAAAACATATCGTTTATCCAGCATTGCCATTTTGGAGCTATTGGGGGAACTCAGAATGGATTTGGAGCCAGCCACAAGGAGGACCCACGCAATACCAGATATCACAAAACTCCTTGCAACATGGCACTTTTTTGCATCTGGGTCATTCCAGCGTACGGTTGCAGCGAGAGCTGGGATCTCCCAATCTCGTTTTTTCAGAAGTGCTGTCCAAAGTGCTGTCCGACGGGGTCGGGGTTCTCCCCCTGCGCCTGTGGAGCAACGTGCCAAATGCTGCGGGGATCTCATCCACAGTCACAGGTTTTTTGTTTGTTTTTTACTGCAGCACATACCACCTTAGGGAATAAAGGTTGCCAATTTATATATATATATATATATATATATATATATATATATATATATATATATATATATATATAT